AGATCTTGAAGAAGCTTGTGAGAGGATGTATGAAAAGGCCTCAAGAGTATAGCTACTAACCAGATGCTGAGCAAAAAAATGAAGGAACTTAGGTTAGAGAAGGAACAATTAGAGGCCCAGGTTAATGATCTCATCAATAAGAATGAGATATCATCTAGGAGAGTAAGTGAGCTGACCGTTGAGAATGAGACCTTAGCTATTCAGGTTAAGCACCTTAAGAGTGAGTTAGAGTTGTCTAGGTCTCAGATACTTGCCTTTCTAGCAGTTTTGAAAAGCTAGAAAATATTCTAGGAATAGGCAAGCCGGCTGGCGATAAGGGAGGTCTAGGTTTTGATAATAATGTTATTAGTACTTCACAGACCACCTTTGTTTGTGCTACTGACCAACCTAACATTGTGACTAACTCCATATCTAATGCTGTGGGATCTTCAAGACGTAGGTCTACCAGATGTCGTAGGATCCATCAACCTAGGAATAAAAATCAGCGTCTACATAACACGGGTCCTAGGTTTATCCCGACATGCCTTCGGTGTGGAGAGTTAGGTCATATCTGCCCTAGATGTCATCACTACCTGAACAATAGGAAAGGCTTGAACTTGAAAAAGGACAAATATCAGGTGTATGTTGGTCAGATTGGATTCCTTACTGGTTAAGTGAATCGTTTGACCCAATTGGTGACATAGCTATCTGGAAACAATCCCCATTCTAGACAGGTTTGGGTGAAGAAGAGCGATCTCCCCCAAATTTGGTAGTAGATCACGGTGCTCTGAAAGGAATGATCACTTATATATCTACTTGATTAGGTATTATTTTATACATGCCTAGCTCTCGTTTGACATATGATTGTTGGGTGCATCACATATATTGTGTTTATTTTTGTTTTATTTGTCATGCATGTGCATTTTCACTTGTTTATTTTGGCACATGTATATTTAGTTTTGTATTTGTGTGCTTGACTTTATTTTATTTTGTGTGTGGAGCATTCATTTTAGAACAATGACAAACACAAAAACGTTGAAAAATTGAAAAGATAAAAATAGTTGGTTGTGGAAATTGCTACAGCATGATGCATGACTTTTGAACTTGCATGTTGTGATCATGTAGGAGCTAAAATTGATAAGTTATAGAATAATTTCCTTTTCTTGTTTAGGTCTATTTGGATTAATTTGTATAAGTGTCTTCATGTACTATCTACGCTATACACACTATGAACTTGTTAGTGGGGCTCTACCGCGTGTGTGAGATTTGGGATGGGTGTTACATGTTAATAGGGTGACTTTAAACATGAATTGACCAATATTTAGTAGACCTAAACTCGAAAATTATCCCCCATAATATAAAAGCTCATATCTTAATGTTCTTCTTCGGGGTCTATTTGACTCGAGCAATTAAGTCTGTGGGGTCTCTTAAACCTGGTGCCTACGATCAACTGACTTAGATTAATCGTCCTAAAGCTCGCTACAGGGGTCATCTTAGTCGTCTAATGGAGAAGAACTTGCACTTAAGATGAAAAATTAATGAGTTGAAAAAATAAGAAAAATGTGAAAAATATGAAGAGCTGGAATAATATGAAAATCTAAAAAATATAAAAGCTCATAGTAAGGGGGAAATAAGTAAAAATAATAAGTATAGGTCATACTTCACATTACATTATTTGACTTTCATTAGTAGGAGAATATATTTATTGGCAGTGATTAACATGTCTTTTCTCACAAAATTAAGGTTTGAAGTCCTGCTTGCATTGGAATGGTGACACTTTACACACATGAAACATTTGTGCTTTTTCTCCATTCTGGTCTAAACTAAGTATGTGGGGAAGGTTTGCTATTTGTTAATTTTATGTTTGCATGCTATTAGCTGCATTTTTTGAGTTATTGTGTGTTATTTGCTCAACTTGTTCTTGATATGATTCCCTTCAGCATTTGTGACAAAAATGGGAAGAGAAAAGTATAACTGAGGAGGAGAAAAACATGTAAAAGAGCATACACATATGGGGAGAGCTACTGTATTTACATATGCATATGAATTCACTGATTGACATTACTTGCATTTTGCATTGCTACGTCTAGGGGTCGTTGGGGTGAGACGTAGATATTGAATTTATTGCATTACATTTATGAGATTTTGCAGTAAAGGGAGCATTGCATTGCATTGCATTGCATTCCACATAATATCTATATGTTAGGAATTCTTGAAAGCGATGGCTAATTTTAAATAATCGTGTTTCTTATGTTTAAAATTTCCTAAGTACTTTTCTTTTAATTCATTCCCTAATTAATATTGATTAAATGATTTTATTCTATTACAAATGAACATAATGATGATGATGATGAATAAAATTAAGGATTACAATTTATTGTATAACAAACAAATGGATACAAATACCCTTGATAAGTGCGGATTTTTGGCACATATTCGAACAATTAAACTTAAATATTTGTGAGTTTCACTAGCGATTTATTACCTAATTTAGTTATGTTTATTGTATAGATGAAAACCCGACTTTGAGCAATGATTAGAAGGAATTTATGCAAGAAACGAGCTAAAAATGAAGGAAAATGAAGAAGACGATCAAAGATGCCACCGATTCAAATAAATAATTTATTTTTGGCTAGAAAGGTGGGCGTTGCGGTGCCCATTCTACCCAAAAATGGGGAGAATCTGTGGCGCCTAGGCGCCGGTGTTTTTTTTATTTCTTTTAATTTAGGGATCTAGCTGCAATTTTCTTTAGGTTTTAATATAAAAGGCAAAAATCAACAAAAAGAAAGGGACTTTTTCTTCCATTGGAGCTTCAGCAGCCGGCGAGCACGTTTTGCTTGCTGAATTTCTTTTGCTTTTCTTTTCTTTTTGTTTTTCTTTCCTCCTTTTCACCTAGTTCTTCTTGCACAATTTGGAGAAAGATTGGAACATGGGGATGTTATAATAGCTTGGAAAAGGAGACCCATTGATATTGAAGATTTCTCACAATTTCTCTCTTTATCAATAAGTTTTTCTTTTTCCTATTTTCCATCAATGTTTTGTAAGAATTTGTTAGTTATTTGTGAATATTTTATGGGTAACTAAATATATTTGTGATTGGGGATTATTTCAAACCCGAGTTATGATTTTCAATTAATTTGTGCTTTACAGTTCTCTTGATTAATGTGTTTAATCCATTGTGTTAAATGTTTATTTTGTTCTTCTTGATTATTTAGGTGTACAACTAAATGATTAAGTTGTTTCAATGAATGCTATTTTGGGATTAGTAATACGTAATAGCTATTGATTTTAAAACCTAATAGCAATTACATTTCAATAGATTATGAAGAATTTTCAAGTGACTGTATATGGATTAACATTTAAGTTAGTAAACCGAGTTTGCGAGTTTACCCTTAATTCAATTCATCTCTTTTTTCGTAATGCATTTGTTAAATTAATTCTAGAGAGCTCGTTATAAGTTGTTTAATGAATATGGTCGAGTAAAGAGCTTGTTCTTGACTAACATGTAAGAAGAGATTGGGGTAGTTGAGCTTGTAATTATTCTCGAATTGTTGTTGATCTTGAGAACGAAAATATATTGTGGTAATTGACAAGAATATCATTCTCGTGGTGACGAAATATCCTCCAATCACATTTTCTCACATTCAATCAAGAACCAATTTGTTTATTTTAAATTTCAAGTCTTTTCTAATTTAAATTTATCGCTTTTCTTAGTTCAACAAACCAAACCCCCCCCCCCCCATTTTAATTTATTTCGTATATTATTATTAATTTTACTTTTTAGTGCGCAATTGACATAATTGAATCAATTCTCTGCGAGAAATGACCCTTACTTGCCATAATACTATTTAAGACGACACATTTAAGTTATGTAAGGAAAATTAATTGAAACCTAATTTTCAACGTGTTTGTTATATTTAAAATTTGCTAAGTACTTTTCTTTTAATTCATTCCCTAATTAATATTGATTAAATGATTTTATTCTATTACAAATGAACGTAATGATGATGATGAATAAAATTAAGGATTACAATTTATTGTATAGCAAAAAAATGGATTAAAAAAAAATGGATACAAATGTCCCTCGGGTCATAACCCAGTGGTATAAAGAATAGGAGTAAGGTAGTCTCAGCCTTGTTGACAGTCGCAGTGTGAGGATTGGATTCCTGAGATATGGAATTGGACTCTTTGTGGGCACTAGTGTACGAGCAAACTCTTGTTCCCTGACCTGTTAGGGTAAATCCTGCGATTTACCTTCCTCACGATGCTCTAGGGGCGGGACGGTGGGAGCCCTCAAGGTTGGAGTTCAACCTTTAAAAAATGGATAAAAATACCCTCAACAAAAATTTGGTGCAAAATGGAAAAGAGTGGCAAAAAGGACATTAACCATTTTGGTGCAAAATGGTGCGTGTAAATAGAATTACATCAAAATGGTACAAATTATGATGTTGGGTTAGAAAGAGATTGCACCAAATAATGGTGAAATGTGTTGAAATAGGGAATGGGTTGGAAATGGCCTTAGGGATTGAATACATGTTTGTTTGAATTTACTTATACATAATAAAGTTACATAATAATTTACATACAGATGAGATGTCAAAAAGAAAGTAGGATTTATTTATTATTATTATTTTTTAATTTGGTTGAAGTAATTCTAACTCAATATATCTCACCATATTATATGCATATAAGTTATTATGTAAATTATTATGTAAATATAGCAGAACCATGTTTGTTTACAACTACTTTATTTTAGATGCTGCAAAAATTGAGGATAAATTTGGTCAGGGCTTGTTTTGCATGGACTTGTAAGGCCTTGCCTTTGTTCAACGTGATTTCCATAAAATATGATATGATGAGAACGAGCCGACCTAAATTAACTTTTCAATATGCTCCGTTTGGCCCCCATTAATTTTCATTCAATTATATTTTATTGACTTAAGACAACTTTCTCAATAAACTTTTATATAAGAAACAGAAGCAAAAGCAAAAGTCATGTAAGACCTTTAAGCATTTAATCGTATCAAGACAATGTACTGCATAGATCAAGCTTGAAAAACAGTTCCTGAGTACACGTGTTAGTGTTAGTAGTAAAGCAATAACTGGGATTTTGGATTATTCACATGAACTGTGGCAATCAGCAATCTGCAAGGAAGCAAGCACTTTCGATTCCATACATGCTATATTACATATCTACTAAATTTCAAACATGTAAGCTATTGAAACACTCGTCAGATTTCTACAAATAGCCATTCTTTTGTTTCTCTTTGCTGCCCTAATTTTGGCTCTTGCACTTCTCGATTACCCTTGGAGCTGCACGAGAAAACCACGAACACACAACTCAATATCTTTCAATCTTGTGGAAATATTTGAATTGGGAGTCGAAATATGAAAAACAAAAAATTTGTGATCCGTACCTAACCCACTTGCCTCTGAGCCTTTCATGATCCTCAATCGCTTGCACATATCAGTAAACATCCTGGACAGTCGAAAACATGGTTAATAATACTTCCTTAGATTCACACAAAAATTCAAATCTAGAAACAAAATTAGCAAGTTAATCATCTATTCTATGTGCAATGACTTGAAGTGATCCACAATAAATGCAATACCTACAATAAGCGTTTCGAATATTGGATTTTAATCCCGGTGAAAAACTCAAAATGTACAAGTATTTTAATCAGGAAATGCACTTTAACAAAAAGATTTTCCTTCAATTTTGAACAGAATACATATTGCAGGCTGTATGGAACTACAACTTACTCCCATGGAACATCACCAACAAGCATCCAGTCACCATCCTTGTCTTCGTATGTGAGTACGTATTCAGAGCGGTCGAGAAGATCCATCAGATGGCACTCATTAAGATCTTCTTTCCCTCGAAGTCCATGAGAAGCATATTGCCCTGAATTGCAGCCACACCAGAAATGGAAATTAATTGATGTCCAACAATACAACATGGGGATAAATACTAGCAAAGTTGGAATCTTCACTATAATTCACAAATATAACAGAATTATCATCATGCTTGTAGATACATCTGACGATAAAAACCCCGCCTGCATCGCATTTCTAATTCTAGCACCTGATAAAAAAAAATAGCAACAAGAGGGGCGCGGGACTTTTTGGGTAATCTCACAGCATGCCAGCTTCTAGAAAAACTTAAGAGATTCTGTAACTCGAGGAGGTAATATTCCTATTCAATTTACACGGGGAGAGGGGGAGAGAGAGAGAGTACCAATGGTAAAGCAACTAAACATCTTCTCAAGTGCTGATGAAAGTTCTGCATAGCTGCAGTAAGTTTTAAGATCCACCTTCCTCAAGTATGGAGCTCCATCCATGCTGACCTTAACATAAAGGCAGCTTGATTCTGATTTTCCCTTAACATCATTATTTCTCGATAAATTAGTGGTGAGTTTGTTCTTATGTAAAGATCGAATAGGTGGCCAACCCACCACTTGTGCCCTGTTACAAAACATAAAACGACTCACGAATCAGGGAATCAGGCACGATGTTTTTGTGCTAAATATCAAACAGTGGGTTAATCTTCAAATTTCATGGTAAATGTGAAATACACGTAAAAGAAATGAGAGAGAGAATAAAATCATCTGCTTGGCTAGTCAAGCTTGAGCTAGTTCATGGATCTTTGGGCTTATCCTGTTTATAGTGTATAACGATGAACAGAAGAAACAATTTCTTCGTCTCTGGAAGATATAATTTCTTTAAAACATAGCCGAGATGAATAGGAAACCAAGAATTTGCTTCAAGAAAACTTAAATTCAAAGGGTGAGTACAAGGCAACGACATCCAGAGCATTCACAAAATTGTCAGGTTCGTTCTGTACAACACGTGCACAGTCAATTAAAATACTTATTTCTCAAGATTAGAGTGAGCAGATGAATCTTAATTCAAATATTTCCAGTTTTGGCTGAAAAACTAAGTGCTGTTATAAACAAGTACGAGTCTCAAACCTTTAAATTATATCTCCTCGCGTACACACTTCTCATCGAAGGGTCAATATATTCACAATTTTCATAGATATACCAGGTTAAACCAAGTCATCTAAAAGCTTAAATTTTTAGACCAAGTAGTTCAAAAGTACATAGAGCTCAAGAATATTAATAAAGGCTCAAAGAGACTAAAAAACTCACTTTGAAGCTGTACTGCCATTTTCATCTTTCTTGCCCTCAACAGGCTGTGGAGGAACCTCCTTTGTAGGATGAGAAGATTGCAAAATATTAGTATTTTTCACTCCACCATTTGCTCCTCTAGGAGAAAACAAAACATCATTTTTCCCCAAATCAACCTCAGATCCACGATTAGTACACAAACCCCATTTATTAGAACCATCAATGGCATCAGAAAAAACCCTCTTAGCACCTGAAAATATGTTCTTATTATTCTCATCCTTCAAATCTTTCCCAAAAAGAGAAAACCCAGTTGCCTTCTTGTCCAAAAATTCTGAACCCGGCAAACCCAGCCTCAGTTCAGTTTCTTTAAGGTTCAGAACCTCATTTTTCTCAGGAGAAGAAGATATTTTATCAGGGGTTTTTTCCATTGTGGGAGGCTCAAATTATCAATTTGGGAGAAAAAATAAAAGTTAATCTTAGCAGATTGGTGATTCTTGAAAACACAACAGATGCCTTTGTCTTTGATTTGGGTACCCTCGAAAAAGTTTATTTGGCACTTTGTGAACTGTACCTTTTTTTCTGTATCTGTATGTATAATTTATGCATTAAAATACTGCATTGGAATAAATACACTTTACATAGTACAGAACAATTATTCCAGACTTTCCAGTTGCTTTCTTAAACAATATAATGAAACAAAAATTCAGAGTGTACAGTGTACAGATCTTACAAAATGAATGATTCTCACATGAATATTTTATTTTCAAAAAATCTGATGTGAGTATTGTAAGTGTTATGCCTAGATCCAATCGATTTAGGTTGTAAACGCTTTTAATATATTTAATGCATTTGATTTTGGCGAGATCT